TTTTGTACTATAAAGAAACTAGAACAAAAAACTTGTAAGTTAATTGTTATGTGGTTTGCAGACCAGTCAGTAATTAAATTAGTAATAGCTCTGCTGTTGATAGGCAGAGAGAAGCCAACTTTTGCCTAACTTCACTAGATGATATAGCTATTTGACAGGTATATATTCCTTTCCCCTGACGTAGACAAATTTTGCACAATTGACATCCTCTGGAGGCTTACTTATTCAATGAGTTTTATAAATTATGTGTGTTCATTGGCCTACTCTTTGCCTAACTTAAGTGGTAAGCCAAATGAATCAATCATGGTAGTCATTTAGAATCGTTGTGTTAAGCATTTTAGGGAAGTAAGTAAATTGTATATCAAATTTTTATGTGACTGCTCAATCTGCATTTGCAAGATATCATTTAGTATGTTTAAACAACCTCTATAACAGCTGTTGTGTAATATTTATGCTACTCATGCTGAAGTTTGACCAGTACAGTAATAAGTAAATGTGGAAAATAATACTCTTTACGACAATAATTAGACTATCACTGTGTAAATGTGAGTATGTGTTATATTTTTGAATCTTTATGCTATTATTTGTATAATAAGTTATAAATATTTGTCTATAGATAGGTCATATATTTGGTGATGCAATTGCAGGCTAGATCATAATTTGATCATGTGATGATAAACATGCTCAAGTCATGAGGTTCACATTCTACTTAAAGCAGTTAAGCAGCAAGTCAGTTGTATTTAATTTCTCGATTATTACCATTCTGAATGAGTTGAGTAATCTCCTTAAAACTAAAGGTGTATTCCTTTATGTAGTTTAGGTAACCATACTTTAGTTCTAAATGTTTGATATATAACTTTACTGGCAGTGACTTTGTTTTTGCAATACCCATTTTTGATTTTGTCCATATGTTTAATGTTCTAACAAGTTTATCTGTAAAAAAGGGATGTTAAATGTATATGGATGTTTGTAGATGTAAATTATGATGTATGATTATAGTGCTAATGTTATATTTAGCCATCTGATCAACATATCATTTCGTTTCCACTGAATACTGCCAACTTGAACTGTGTTAGTGACTTATCGTATTTTTTCAAGTGCAACTCTCCAAATCTACGATGGTTTGTTTGTATTCTTTCTGTAACCTCGAACCATAATTCTATAGCCTATCTCGAACTGTCAAGTATTTTTCTCTTTGGGTATCGATCTTTCCATCACCGACTCTGCCAGAGAAGGTCTTCACACGTTCAATCTTGTTCTCGCTCTTCTTCCTCGATACAGCTCACTTAGTGTAACCTTTGTCTAACTTTACGGTGTTGTACGGTATTGTAATTAGAGCAAAGCCAGTTTCTGATATATTGTACAAGGCTCACATTCCATAGTCTTCATTATATACTTAAAAGTAAAAACAGCGGGTTCCACTTCATGACTCTATCTTGGATGATACGAAGCTACAATTTGATGTGATTACAAAGGAGAGTATCTACAATGTATAAATGAATTGAATGTGAAAAGGGAACATTAAAAATGGTATGGGAAAGGTATTGAGAAGGATATATTATTAAAGGGTATTTGAAGGGGGCATTAAAAGGCGGTTTTAAAAGGCTAAAAAAGGGTAGTGCAACTGGAAAAGGGTGTTTTTTCTTTTAATACATTTCTTCTGAAGAAAGAATGGAAACAATTTCTATTCTTTCTTCAGAAACAAGAGGGTACGAAGAAAATGAAATAAATGAGTGATGTTAAAATTAAATTTTCCTATTTTTTAGGCAATCTGCCACATGTTTGTGACCTTTCATTGGCTTTATGTATGTCAAACATTTCGGCTGAATTTTTTGTTTTGAAACTGCCACTACGTCATGACGACCATCACCTGCCAGAACAACTGAGCAACATTCTTTAGTTTTTTTCAGCAGTTTCCGTTGGTGCTTTCTCCAAAATATAAATATTGATGGGAAAAGAACTTTCTATAAATGTAATTTAAAATATTAGTCACCCTCCAAATCTTCAGCTTAAACCAAAGAAACATGCCATACTTGCTGATGTCTAAAGTATGATGGCAGTAAAATAGCTTGCAGTCCCATATGCTTCATTGCTTGAAACGTTGTGCTGGCTAAAGATCTTACCACTAAGACTGCAATAGAAAGTAGAAAGTTTCAAGCTGTAATCTTAGTACCAAGCATCAATGGCTGACTTTTTCAAACAAATTCTTTACGACAATCAACATTTTTGCACATGGTTTTTATTATTACCATTGTTTCAACTTGACAAACATGAACCGATGGATTTTTTTCCATGACAAAACATGCATGTTTTAAACAACTAGCTGTGTCAAGAAGACAATATATTTCTGTTGCTTTTGCACATTGTCAGAAGTGTTGATTCTAAAGAACAAAGAAGTAACATCAAATACTAATTAGTGTGAAGCGAGAATAACCTTTCTATTTAATATATATCTTACGTTGGTTCTGAGTATTCATCATCATCATGAACACTCTCACTATTATCAACAAGATTTTCATCATCTTCTGTGTCATCAGTACTTGTTTCCATTTCAACATCAAATCATCCCCATCAGAATACTCATTATCCACAATGTCTGTTTCCACGTCTTCAAGGTTTGAGCTAGGATCAAATTCTGCATGTTGAGGAAGTATTTGCAGTGTTAATGCTGCAGTCCCTCTCAACTGCATAAAAAATCAGAGCAATGAGAAACATGCTACATTCTCAATATTTTGAAATTGGCACTGAAAGCACACCTTTTTTTCTAAGTTTTTTTAATTTGTGTTTTGCTGACAGCCATTGCACAGATAATCGTTTGTTCTGCTTTCGCAGATTGTAACACCAAGCACAATCTGCAGGCAATGTTTGGGTGCCAACCGGTTGATGGGTCTGTAAAGGCATACATGTATTTCAAATATATTATCACTTCACGCCACTGAAGTGAATTTAAATACCTGTTCTATTTTATCGATTTCAGCCAATTTAGATGCGGAGGTTAAAGTATTTTCAATGGGGAGTTCTTCTGCAATCGTTTTAGTGATGATTTCTTCTTTGATGAAATTATCAGTTGAAGTAGAGCATGATTCGCTTACCAAATCTTTTACCATCTTTTTAACCTATATACAGAATGAAACATTAAAGAAGCAACAAATAATTGCAACATGCATATCACTAACAATCGGTTTTCATCTGCCGATGGTATCTTTTTACATACCCGTCGTTTCTCTCTAGGTGTAGGATTTTTTGTTCATTGTCTTTTAGAAATATTGTTGGATAAGCGGTGATTCCAAATTCATCTTTTTTTGACCCTTGGTGTATAATTCTTCGTCCTTGAGAGTTCTACCATGTATTTTTTGTAATTTACATCAGTAAAATGAACGGAACAAACAGCCGAATACTTCGGTGTCCATTGAGCGCATTTTCTTGCAACAAAATTCACCAAGATTTTACGTCTTCGCTTCACTTCAGGACGCTCATCACCGTAAAATGGTATACGGTGAAGAGAAATTCTTTCCGCAGATATTTCTCGGCTCGAACAGCCAAAAACTGCACATCTTTCAGACATTTTGATGCAGAGACGGAGTAAATAAAGTATTAATTATAGCAAAAATCACACTTCACAAAATTTCCTGTCCTTATATTACGTCACATACTTCTTGATTCAGGCTCTCATCAAGAAAATTAAACGCGCAGCAATTTTTCTCCATTATTGCCCATTTTGAGAAAAGAAACGCATTTATCTCATAAACGAAGCCATAAATCAGAAAATCCAAAAAAATGTGGGATAAGCAATTTAAACGTCATTTCCCAGCGTACATCCGCAAAGAAATTTTTGGAAACGAATTTTACTGTTCTTCGACTAAATAACTAGTTTTATTTGTCAACTATAAACTAATAGCTAGTAGTGTACATATTTTTAAAGATTTATGTAGTTTTTGGACACTAAATGAATTTAACAAACTGCACTTGCTTGTCAATCATCTTCTTCAAAGTTATCGTATGCGCCATAATCATGCATAGGTTTCTGACGCATTTGTCTCTTATCCATTTATCTTGAAGTTTATGAATAAATCATTGGGATGTAAAACATTGAGGACAAAACACATTTTTAAATCTCAAACATGTTTGATTTAAATAATATTAAATTTGCGTTATTATTTCAACTATGGTTGTGAAACTACTTCATTTTGTGGCCATTTACTTGACAGACCGCACACATTTAAGCACTGCGTGCCTTTTTTTGTGTATCGAAACCATGGTTAAAAATCATTAGTTGATTACATTATGATGAATATTTAAATGTTGATTACATTATGTAAAATATTTTATGCGTTTATAGTAAAATCAAATGACGCCTTCTTTGACACTTAACATGACATTGTACTTTTGTATTGGACTTTCGCCAATGGAAGCTACTGTATCCTTCACAAAAAAATAAAAAATAATTTAGACAATCCAATATTTTCTCAAAACTTTAACTTTAATACTTTCAAATCATACATACAAGGATTATACACAGCTCACAATAAGCAGAACTCTTAATTAACTTCAGGTCAGCTTGCCCTCTATTTGTATCAGATATGTTTGGATAAATGAGCAAAATTATTATTCATTAATTTTTGTTGCTCTCGTTTTCGTCCAAAATGCACATTTCAAATCTTATTATCGATTGATAAAATCGGAGCAACTCTTATGCATTTAATTGTTTTAGTTTAACTCATCCCTAAATGTACTGACTTTATGCCCTTAAAAAGAACTCCAGTTGAAACTGGGATAAACAGTGACGAAAAAGACTATAGAGACGGTGAAAAACCTGATTTTTGGAGATAAAAATGAGGTGCATGCTCATTTTTATATAACAAATCATTGAATGTGTTTAACGTGAAACAGCTTTTTACTATCATGCATAAGTCGAAAAAATTTTCACAAGGTCTTTGACGCTTGACAAGTGATATTTTAATATTTATTGTTGCTTTATTTACCATTTTTTCATTTGACAGATCTTGCATGCAATGGGAGCGTCTTCTTCAACACTTTATGAAGAAACACGTGAAGCCAGGAAAGAGCGTCGCAACCCTAATATTGACGGCAAGTAAAACTCATGCTCTGTTACTCACAAATAATAAGTAATTGAATGCAAACTTCGGGTGAACTATTCAATATAAGCCAAATGACGAGAGTTTGAGTGGTATAATAAAATACAACGTACCGATTCATAGGTAAAGATAAAGTAGAGTATGTTAATAGAGGGTTAAGGGAGGTGTCAGTGAGTGATGTGTACAGAGGAAAACCAAGGAGATGCACTGAAAGAACACAAGTGAAACCTTAATGCTTTGATGTGTTGTTGCCTATTTTCTCGAGATGATTTATGGCAAAGCAACAGAAAGAGAAACATGTAATCATTTACTGTAGAAATTTTACGCTTGTGTGCGAGGAAGTCATATATTCTGCATTTTTATGAGAAATAGATCTGGCTATATGACGAATGGCTTTTAAACATTCGACTAACAAAAATGCACGATTTAAGAGTTAAAGTATTTGTATTTTTTGCTTGTTATAAAAGCAATTTTCCACACTAGAAAGACATTTTGTGTTATATTATGTACATTTTACGCACAGTTTTCAAATTTGAAAATGAAGTGGAGCAATGAGCATACATCACAACAGAGGTCAGACAATAATATCAATAATGAAATATTGAATTTTAAACTGTTTTTGTACGAAATTTATGCAATGGCATTCTTATGAATCTTTTACTATAGTTTCTGAGTAGCAGCAACTTTAAAGTACATTTAAAAAAACGATGACTTTTTATAAGCAAACATGTTTCTTCTTTAAAAATGCCATCTTCAGTACGAAATTATTCATATTACGAAATATGATACAGTATAGAAAGATACGGTATGAATAATTTGTTTACACTCAAAGGGAATGAGATATAATTAAAAGGCATTTTAATGGTTTTATCTTGAAAGTCGGTATCTTCCATTGCACGATCTGTTGTACATCCTCTAGTTTTGAATCGGACTCCTTTCGAGCAACTTTATTCTTAGTTCAGATGACTGACACTTAACAATTACTTGGTCTCGAAAAGTGATCTACAAAACTAAAATTTTCTATGTGTCATCCAAGCTTGATCACAAATTGATCGATGTGTAGTAATATTTACATATAGACAAATCTAAAAATCCTATCTGTTATATTATGCGTACAGATAAGCTGCACTGCAATCGACTAATTACAATCGAGAAATATCTCAAAGTGTATTTTTACAATGTATATTACATGGTTTTTAAGGGTTTTATTGGAATCCACCACTTTCGCCACTTATATTTTCGTATGTCACGTGGTACAAACTGTAAACATTGCGTACATTGTCACTGCTCTATCATATATTCTTATACAGCTTTGACTGATTTTGCTTGAAAAAATTTCGAGTATTCATTTCGCAATTTTATGATACGAATATCATTTTTAATTTTTTTGTAAATGGCAGTGGTTCTGTTAGTTATTTAGTTGCTAGCTTCTACAGTCAATCACAATCGACTTTAGAAAATGTGAATACTGAATAGTGTTGATGGAAACGATCGTTAAAACGTTATGTACTTTTTGTATTTCTAACAGCGATTCTTGCCATTTAAAACTGATGAAAAATAATGAAACTGATAATAAAGTATGTTTTTTAAAGTTTCGTGCACAATAAAAGTGAAATTTTGCACCATATTCAACTTTATGTTTAATTGAATGTTTAAATTAGGTACACCATAGCTAATCCAATTCTTTTTATGTTTCCTAAGATCATTAACTAGACGCTACTTTTATCATTTACCTATTGACTGTTATTTCTGAGCGATTTAAGAAGATAGTTGTGTGACGAAGCTGCCCTAAGAACACATCAATACTCAAAACTTTTTAAAGTCAAAACAGTCATTACCGTATGAAATATATGATAGAGCTGTGAACAGTATAGGGAACATACAGTTGGTCCATATCGTGTACAACTTGCCGCTGTATATTTAATTAGATTATTCGCTGCTGTTAGCCCTTTTATCATTCCTATTGGTCAAAAAAAAGCAATTGACTGGCTGCCACTATGGTAATGACATGCATAATAAAATATGTATTTCATGAAAAAATTAATGGAGTGGCTCTACTGTATATTCACTACACTGTTGCTGTTACTATGTACGCAATGTTCACAGTTTCTAGGTACCACGTGACATGCAAAATATTACTCCATAGAAATAAGGAATGAATATTATTCACAGAATGCATGTATGTATGTAAATGAAAAAGACACAAGAAGACCAAGTTTAAAGAATAAGAGGTAGACATAGAGTAGAGTATGGCCCTGTTTACACGAGACCGGAACGAAGTCCAACCGCGATACCAGCTTGTTTGGGTCATAATATTATTTACAGTAGATGTTTACATGGGACCGTTACGAAAATGACTCAGAGCGGCCTGAAGTCGTACTGCCTGCTGAACTGATCCGACTGATTTCGGAACGGTATGAATTGAAACCGGGATCAATGTAAACTCAATTTAATGCTCAAACTGGTGTGAAATGGTATCAACGCATGCGTCCAAAAGCAAATTACAGAAGCAAAATGACTAACAAGTGTAAAATTAGCCTGCAAAGGAGGCATTACGCGAATGAGGAACAAATTCTGATTTTCATTCCGGTTTGACTTTTTACGTTCTCATGCAAACAGGGCCTACGTAGATAGGGTAAAGGCCATTATCAGTGTTGTAATTTACCATTCTTTAGGCTTTATTTAACTTTAAAAAACAACTTAAATGCTACAAACAATAATATGGCGGATAAACATAGAGTGAGTACCGCTGTTCATAAAGTACCGCAGATAGTGGCACAGGGAGACCAATACCAACAAAACAATATTACAACATTTATCCTCCATTAAACAGAACTGATGATAACACTTATGAGTTCAAAGTTTAGAGTCTATTCGTCTTCAAAACCATAACGGGTTGGTGGTTTTACAGCACGCACTGAGCGCCTCAGAGGGGCATGTGGCTGTCCCAATTCAGTTGAAATACTCTCCTTCTCAACTGCTTGATGCTCAGCCGTAGCATGTGCCTGGTCATTTCCCTCTGCAATAGGCGGCACGGTGGCAGGGATGGTGTGATTGTGAGCTGGGGGCTATGGTGCCAGATCTCTCAGTGATACCATTATTTTCTGCCGTTTAAATACTTAATATGGGTATAAGTAGGGTTAGATTCCTTTAACTCTACCTGGTCAACAAGTGGGTCATTCTTGCTTGTTCTCACATATCGGTGGAGCAGAACCGGTCCGGGGGACTGTAACCAGGTGGGAACTGAAGTACCATGTGTCGAACGGCGTTTGAAGCCAAAAAATCTCTCATGTAGAGTTGAGTAGGTGGCAGTGGAGAAGAGAGACCTTGCTGAATGAAGCGCGTCAGGGAGCACCATTTCCCATTTACTGTCCGGCAGGCTTGCTGTTTTAAGAGATAAGTGAATAACTTTCCACACTATACCGTTATAGCGTTCTACTTGGCCATTGCCTATCGGGTGGTAGGGTGTAGTTCGGCTCGTAGCGATGCCTCTCTGAGAGAGGTATTCTTTAAGTTCCTGGGACATGAATGAGGCACCTCGGTCTGAATAGATGAAACCTGGCGTCCCACACAGAGTGAATAACTGATCCAAGCTTCTGATAACGGTTGATGAACTCATGTTTGGGAAGGCGAAAGCAAAAGAGAAGCGTGAATATTCATCCACGACTGTTAGCATATAGGGATTATTAGTAGTCGTAGGTAGTGGATCTTTAAATTCCACGCTGAGTCGCTCCATAGGTCGGGTAGCCTTGATGAGAACTCCTTGCTGCGGTTTGTAAAATTGGGGCTTGAGCTAAGCACAGACCCTACAACTAGAACACACCCTCTTAACTTCATCTGTAGAGTAAGGGAGGTTTTTCGACCTAATGAAATGTAACAATCGGGTGACACCTGGGTGGCATAGAGCAATGTGTATCTCTGTAAGGCTAGCTGCAGATATGGAAGCTGTGAAAGCCCGGGTAAATGAGTCAGGATCAGCGTTATCCTTACCGGGCCGGTATTTTATGGTGTAGCTAAAAGACCCTAGTTGTAGCCTCCAGTCCTGTATTTTATTGTTCTTTACTTTGGTGCGTCTTCGAATGTCAAACATGAAGGCGACTGACTGCTGATTGGTTTTGAGTGTAAAATGTCTGCCTGCAAGAAAATGTTGCCACTTTCTGACAGCTTCAATTATGGCCATTGCTTCCCTCTCTACCGCAGGATAGTGGAGCTCACTCCCTTGGAGGGTCTTGGACATAAACGCTACAGGTCTGCCTCCTTGATTTAGTGTAGCAGACTGGGCAGTTTCTGAAGCATCAGTCTATACAACGAAGGGGAGGCTCTCGTCAGTAGAGTGTAATGACGCTTTCTGCCGCTCGTCCTTCAGCATTGTGAATGCATTCAGAGCATCGCCATCAAGTGGAAATGAGGTTGCTTGTAGTAGCGGTTGTAGTTTGTCAGAATAGTTTGGTATCCATTTTGCGTTGTATGCAAACATAGCGATAACTCTTTTCAAGGATTTGGAATTTTTGGGAAGAGGGAAGCTTTTAAGTGGACGAAGCCTTTCCTGGTCTGGGGCGAGGACACCATTCCCTATACAGTAACCAAGTGGATTGATGGAAGACTTGTACTCTACTATCTTGTTTTCATTCAAAGTGAGGTTTCGGCGCTTTACAGCCTCTCTGAATTTCCTCACCTTTTCGTCGTGCCCGTGCTGATCGTAGCCTGCAACAGTTATATTATCGAGGTAAGGAAATGTATCTTTCAGGCCCTCCTCTTCTACAAACTTGTCCATCGCTCTTTGGAAAACTGCGACGCCGTTGGTTACTCCAACGGGGATGCGACAGAACTGATAAAGCTTACCATTGGCCTCAAAACTGGTAAATTTTCGGTCGGCTTTCTTGACAGGTACCTGGTGATAGGCACTCCTTAAGTCGAACGTTGAGAAGACTCTATATGAAGCTAGGTTGTTGACAATGTTGTCGATACGGGGTAGCGGGTATGCATGGAGCTCCGTGTAGAGGTTGACGGTTTGGGAATAATCAATGCAAAGCCGCTCCTTGTGTCATTGTAGTGGGTCCTTTGATACGACGACTTGAGCCATCCAGGGCGAGGTGCTAGGTTCGATTATGCCTTCAACGAGTAGGTGTTTAATTTCTTGTTTGATAAATTCCTGGTCCTCCTTGCTGAATTTCCGCGACTTGCTTGCGATAGGCTTACATTCATGGAGGAGGTTCGCGAAGAGGGATGGTTCCTCAATAGATGCTGCTGCAAGAGCACATACAGGTACCCCGTTGGGTACTTTGAGTTCTGGCTTTTTACCACCGAACTCAATGACAACACTTTTATGTTCCCTTTGAAAGTCTTGGCCAAGGATGATATCACTACAGAGATCCTTCAGTACACCTAGACGTACAGATGAATAACACTGGTGGCCTAGTTGGATGTCAACAAAGCAATGGCCAAGAACTTTGGCTTTAAGTGATGTGAGAGCCATAGATAAACTGTCATCTGACTTGAGTAATTTGAGGTTGAGCTGGTTAGCTACCTTGTCGTTGATGTAGCTATCTGAACTCCCAGAGTCAACAAGGGCAGTAAGAAAAGTACTGTTGACACTGACTTTGGTGGATGCTTGCATAAGGCTCTTTGGACAGGCGGCACTTATGGAGCAGAGTAAGGCAGATCTTATTGATGCTGTAGTCTTAGTCCCTTTCACAGCCTGAGACTGGCAAACTTTAGCGTAATGGCCAGTTTTACCACAATTGTTGCAGACACAACTGCGTGCAGGGCACTCCTTTCTATTGTGAATAGGGCAGCCACAGAAATAACGCTTTCTTTGGGGTTTGACTGCTGCTGACACATGGTTATCACTTGGTAAAGGATCCTTACCACCACTTTCTGTAGAAATAGAGGCTGCCGAGTTTTCGGTTGGAGCATAGGCTTCAGAGTTTTTCTGGGCTAAGCCTAACGCGTTGGCCTGATCAAATGCCGTCTTCAAGTCAAGTTACCAGTTCTCCAGAATTCGTTGGCGGATCAGTGGTGATAGATGACCATTAATAAATGAGTCACGGACTAATTCCTCCCTATACTGTTCTGCAGTCACACTTCTGACGTTACAATCCTTGCTTAACTTTTTAAGTTCCTGTAAGAACTCTGTACGCGACTCACCAGGCTTTTGGCGCCTTGTAGCAAGTAGATGACGTGCAAGTATTTCATTCGGAGGCTTAATATACAGATTATTTAGTGCTTCAATAGACGAGTCGAAGTCCTAAAAATCTTCGATGTAATCGTAAACGTTGTGAGAGACATAATTGATGAGAGTACGGTGTTTGTTTGGGGCTTTATCGCCGCATTCTTGAATGAAGTTGTTGAACGTTCGGAGCCTATGTTTCCACTCTTTCGCGGCTAACGGCGAATTTTGGTGCAAGTCGAGACGTTGCGGTTTCAATATCGTTTCCATATTGAAGAATTTAAATAAAGTTAAATAAATTGTTGTAATCTACCATTCCTTAGGCTTTATTTAACTTTAAAAAACAACTTAAATGCTACAAACAATAATATGGCGGATAAACATAAGAGTGAGTATCGCTGGTCATAAAGTACCGCAGATAGTGGCACAGGGAGACCAATACCAACAAAACAATATTACAACAATCAGTTTTGTACACAGTAAGAAGCGTAGAGAAGAATCAAAGAATAGGAAGTGTATGAATACATTGAAGGAAGACAAGGGGAACCTCTCCTTGTTTATCATCATGAATGAAGAAGTCTTAGCTTTAGTTAGGAAAGTGCTCATTTTTAGCAATTTTCTTACAAACACAATCTATTCATACGGTTTGGGTTAGTGTAAATTAACCATAGGCCAAATGTTTCCATGCAACGGAGAACAAGAATCATGCTCTAGAATGTAGAGTAAAGAGTAATGAGATTACACGAAGTAGAAGTTCAGATTGAGGTAGAGTGTATGTGGATGGGTTGGAGAAAAGGATCTTTTATATTAAATGGCAAAATAATTTCAACAATTATGAAAAGAAAGGTTTACAAGACAGTACAAATCCAACATTGTGTATGGTTTTAAGATAGTGGTAATGGGAATAAGACAGATGACATTTTTCTGTATCGCTTGCCTTTAATCTTAACAGGTATATGTTTGCTTGATTGATTAATTTTTGACAACTTTAATAATTGGTGCTAAAATTTTACAAAAATTTAAAGTCGTTATCAAAATTTTAAGCGTATTTGAGTAAATTTGAGGTACATATTCTTATGAATTTGATTAGTTTTGTTGCACTCACCTCTGATTGTAATACTTTTATGTCATTTGAAGAATGGCAGTTACAAAAGTTGGAATATGTTGGTCATTCAGTTCAGCATAGAGGTCAGTTGTCAAAATTGTGTTATCCCGAAACGGACAATAAACATGTGGGCAATGTACGTTTCTCGAAGAAGTTTAGGCTCGGCAAAGGATGTGATGGAACTCGTGTTTATCTTGGACTGACACAGGATGGTTACGGTAAAGCAGTGAAACAAATTCGTAAAGATAACTACCTCCAGCCTGCACAGCATGAAAAGGAAATTTTAAACAAATTCAATGCAAGAAAGTCGAAATATGTTGTGAATTATTACTTCTTAGAGGAAGCTACTGGAACAGATTATGTTTATTTGATCTTAGACTTATGTGAGGAATCACTGGAGAAGTTTGTGGATAATTCTACTATACATGACCTTCAAAAAGCTCTTCCCAATATTCTTAGACAAATTTTGAATGGATTAGCTGATCTTCATAGTGGCTCACATCCTATTCTTCATCGGGATTTGAAGCCTAACAATGTTCTCCGTGACGTAGACGGCAGATTTCTGATAGCTGACTTTGGCATTAGTCGAGTATTGAAGAATGGATCTAAAACACACATAAGCAAGCTTAACAGGGGATGTCAATTTTGGATTGCTCCAGAAGCAGTAGAAGAGAAAGATTCAAATAAAGCACGTAATGAAGATTTAAATAAAGCACGTAATGAAGATTCAAAAAAAGGACGTTACAAAAAAGAGTCTGATGTATATGTAAGTGTAAGAATGTTAACATTTACAAAACTCACAGCGAAATTTAATTTGTGAGAGTTTATATTTGCTGTTAACTTTAAATTTCTTGTTATTTTAGAATGCAGGAATGATTGCTTATTATGTTGCAACAAAAGGGAAACACCCTTTCGGAATTGAACGGCATAGATTGGACAATATGTTAAATGGAAACCCTGTTGGCTTGGACGAAATCAAGGATGAAACATTAAAAGACCTTCTGTCGTGGATGTTGAAACTACAACCAGAAGAAAGACCATCTGCCAACGAAGCCTTGAAACATCCATTTCTTATGTCGGATGACCAGAAATTTGAATTTTTATGTAAAGTTGGAAACCTACAGTCGACTAAATTAAATGATCCTCAATCTAGTATCGTGCAACATTTGAATATTGAATCTTTAAACTGGAGAAGCCAAATGGATAACGATGTTTATAAATATTTGGTAAATGGAAGAAATTATGGATCTTCATGGACAGAATGCTTAAGGCTCATTCGAAATATTGGCATGCATTGGAACGATAGACCACAACACCTACCACAACCAGAAGCATTTTATAAGATTGGCGATCACAGAGCGTATTTTCTCAAAACGTTCCCCAGTCTCCCTGTTAAGGTACATGCTGCTGTCAGGTCAAATGAAGAATTGAAATACAAACTAAAACTTAAGGGTAAGCATACTAGCTTGATAATTCACATATCGTCAAAGATATGGATGAAGCGGGGCAAGGTGAAAACAAATTCTTTTTCTTTATGTTAATATTACTAATTTTTTATGTATGTATGCCGTACGAGTTTTTATAGACTTGACTTGTTTTATTGTTTATTGATCGTGATCCCAGTCTCCCAGAAGATGAATGTATTTTACATTTCTCCTCAATGTTTTTAGTTAGTTTCGGTAACATTTCGCACCTTTCAAATATGTTAACTGTCATCATCAACTTGTTTACTTGTCAAAACGTTTAAATGTGTATTATACTGTATTGGAAGGAAAGCACGTTGCAATTAGTAATTTAAGTAGCATGTGAAATGCAAAAATGGTTTAAAATTAGGTTTTCAGAGGAATATTATTAGGCTCAGAATGAGTATAAATGTTGTTAGGTTGTAAGAATTGCATGGTCGTGGACGTTAGTACGAAATTGAGCATGTTCATTTTGAGAAAAAATAATGGCCTATATTAAAAGTGAATGCAATCATTATCAAATGCTTATTTTGTCTGTATAAACATCGCATAAACAAGTATAAACTGTTAAAATAACCAATTAATTTTGGTAAAGGCCTTCATAATCCAATTTTAACTGGTTGTCCTCGTTGCACCCAGAAAGACGTATTTTTGATTGTTTTTCGAAGCGCTTTACTCTATTCTTTACCCCCAAAGAAAAGATACTGTTGTCCGAGTTATTTGTTGCAAAAGGTTTGCGAATCTTCTAAATCGGGGATGTAACGACAACGAAAATTTTCTAGACCTAGCAAACATCGAAATTTAGTTGTTGTTTTCAGTTCTTTAGCTTTCGCCAAAGCTTTAAACTTCCCTTCTTTCCGCCAATACATCTTTCAGGTTACAAATGTCCTATACAGTTAGTATTAGTTGTAGAAATCTACATTTATCTGAGTTGAGAGTAAGTCCCTGCTCTCTTTGTTTTTCAATAAATTTATTCAATCTTTTATCATGCACTTTAACTAATTGACCAAGAACAATATTATCATCCATAATATTTTGTACTCCCTCACATCACTGTAGAACCTATATGGTAATATACTGATAAACATCTGCTGTTTATGTTATTCCAAGCATAAGTCGTTTATAATTAAATATACCACAATGGTTTACAAATGTTGTTATCCCCTCGATTCCTCAACAAATACTATTTATTCAAGGGAAACCCCCATTTTAAACATAACTTACCCATGGAGTTTGCTCTTTTGCTCTTTAAATGTTATCTCCTTCGAACATCTCGGCCAATTTTTGTTTTCTACTTTCTTCCTCAAACTAAACAAAGTTCTTTTTGGTTTCTATTCTACAGATTTCACGTCAAGGTCCATTTGGATCTATAATTGAAAATCTTTCAATGTCCCCATGTAAATATATAAATTGTAGCTCAATCTCTGCATTGCCATAATCGACGTTTATCTGAAATTTCCATATAGGACTTAAATTGGGCTTAAGCAATGTGATCGAAAATTATGCACATATGTTTCTAGTTGATTTCTTTGTGTGTATTTGACCCCACTCTTCTTAAGAGCCTCCAGGTTTTTTATCTATGATATTACAAATAGATTCACAGTTAATTAAATTGTCTGAACCTGAACGTCAACACTTCAATGTTGAGATTTTCATGCACAATTCCATTTTCAATTTTTTTGTGTACAATAAAAGCGTAATCGTCTTCATAGTCTAATTTATTATGACTCCTTTATTTACATTTCTTGGGTTTTTAACTTTCATTTGACTTTTATTTTGGCTTCTGGTTAGAAATTTATCTTTGACCTACAAATAGCTGCGGAAGGATCAACGTTCACACATGTCCTGCGTACTTTTACCACCATGCATTTGGGTTTAACTTTTGCGCCAAAGATAGAGCTACATTTTCAAGTAGTTTTAAAGTTTTAGCACAACAAAAGTAAAATTTTTCATTAAAATCACTAATCTTTTATTAATATCATTCACTACAAGCTCCTACTATCACTTACAGAACTACTGTTATTTTTACCTATTTAAAAAGATATTTGTATCAAAAAATCGCCAAAAGAACACATCAATATTCGAAAATTTCCTAGTCAAAACAATGTCTGCTCATACGGTATCCATTGGTTATTGTAAATTAACTGTAGCGCAAAAGTTTCCCGACAGTGGGTTATTGCACCTCCCATAATCTCCTTCAGACGCCAATTTTTTTTCCTGATGATGCGTAATAAAGTTAGTGTCACATGTTTTTTTTACTCCATTTTAGATGATCTTAGAATCGCCAATTACGATATCCCGTCAATTGGTCAAGATGATTTAGATTTGATGCCATTGTATAAGGTGTGTACTGTTTTAACACTCAAGCTGACTTTGGATATTTTCTGTGAGAATCTCTCTGAATACTTAACTGTATCTAATATTTCACTTTGCAAAAAGCCACTAAAATTTAATACTGAGGGCTGACGACCATACTCCTAACGTTATTTGTTATCAAGCGAGTTTTTGTAACAGACTTATACGAGATTGGACACTAAAAATGAAAGTCTAATTAACTTTTTTAAATTACAAAAGCAAGAAGATCAATCAAAATTAAAATCTAATTGAGACATGCACAAACTTAATAAGCACTTAAATAGCATAGATCGGAAAGCCACAGATAAAAATATGTACGAAAGCCGTAGTTTCTTTTTTTATTTATTTCGAGGTAAGTTAATGGCACGTCAGATATAAAAGATTAATTTTTATAAATGTAACCATTACACTTTGTCTGAATACTTGTATCAGATTTTTGAGTTTGCAAAAGCAACCGAAAATTATTAAGAGAAGCTTGATTTAACGGTAATCAAAACTCATCAAAAATAAAGGACAGTTCCTAACAGTGAAAGGCAAATGTATATCAATGTAACATCACAGCAAGTTTATGTTCTTAATTACTTGTACGTGTGATAATAATATTAATTTATTTTATCAATAATAAAAAATTATTTCAATACATTTTTAGTTATATAGTGAAAGTCCACCTTTTCCGAGATCAAAGTCATCTGTATCAGGTTAGAAATCAAGAAATATCAATGCACGTCAATTATACAACTGCCATCGTCCCTTCTTTGTATCAATGTCAGCTTCATTACAATTAGTACATGATTTACAGTTTTTGTTCAAGTAAAGTTATAGGAATATTGCTTAGCAACAATATCTGTGTTTGTGCTGCATGCTTTAATATGAAAGACTCACGATGCAAAATGGTATTTATATATGCAACAATTAAATTATATCTATTTACATGCTACATCCTCTCGCTTTCCCAACTATATACTTCATAATTTTGGCTTAGACGTAGCGTTGTAGCTCCTTTAGAACGTGATTTCATCAAAGTCTCTTGTTCTTTGTTTGTTTGTTTGTCATTCGCGTATATTTTTATATGCGCTGAATTTCTTCTTTATGGTGCTTCCTTTTCTTATTAAACTGTAACTTCGTTGTTAAAACAGAGATATGTTGATCCGAGTGAGGCTGCTAATGCACACATACACGAAATATTAGCCCTGCCAACTAATACTGGTGTTTCAAAACATAAGATAAATAACTTTTATAATACTATACTTTGGCATGTTCAAGCGCTTGAGATATTTGGGAACTTGGGAGATGTTGCAGGAAACGTGAAAAAAACTCTAGCAAGTTAGAGGAGATTCGAGCTGATTTAACAAGAGCATCACAAAATTGAGAAAAGTGAAAAGTTGGCCTTTACAGATCTAGTTGGAGCTTTGCGAGCCAGGATATAACGAAATCCTATATCACAATCTGATAAACAAGGAAAGAGAGAGAGTGTATTGAAAGAAAAGAAAGAAAACTACTATTAACCAAAGTCCAAACAAGACAATGTGTGTACTGTGACAGCAAAGACCACAGATCCATAGATTCTTACAAAGTCTAGAATGTCAGTGAGCGTGAAAAGATCTTAATGTCAAAACGAGGCTCTTTTAAGGGCACAGGGGAAAACCATAGAACAAGTAATTGCAAGAATCAGACTGTATGTATGTATGTAAATGAAAACAAGAAGACACAAGAAGAGTACGTTCCAAGAATAAGAGGTAGACATAGAGTAGAGTATGGCCCTGTTTACAAGAGACCGGAACGAAGTCAAACCACGGTATCAGCTTGTGTCAGTCATAATATTATTTATAGTAAATGTTAACATGGGACCGTTACGAAAATGACTCAGAGCAGTCTGAAGTCGTACTTCCCGCTGAACTGATCCGACTGAGTTCAGAACGGTATGAATTGAAACCGGCATTAATGTAAATTCAAATTAATGTTCAGACCGGTCTGAAATTGCATCGACGCATGCGCACAAAAGCAAATTATAAAGGCAAAATGGCTAGCAAGCGTAACATTAGCCTGCAAGAAGGCTTTACGCGAATGAGGATTTTTCGTGATTTTGTGCCGGTCGCATGTAAACATGCAACAAATTCTGATTTTTCATTCTGGTTTGACATCGTTCCTGTCTCATGTAAACAGGGCCTGCGTAGATAGGCTGAAGGCAATTATTAGTTATGTACATAGTAAGAAGCCTTAGAGAAAAACCAAAGAATAGGAGGTGTATGAATACACTGAAGGAAGACAAGGGGAATCTCTACTTGTTCATCATTATGAATGACAAATTGTTAGCTTTGGTTAGGAAAGTGCTAATTTTTAGCAATTTTTTTACAAACACTATCTGTCCATACGGTTTGGGCTATTGTAAATTAACCATAGGCGAAACGTTTCCATGCAATAGGGGGGGGGGAGTATTTAATAACGCTGCTACTAAAATATCACTTACAGAACTCAATGGCTGTATCATTTTTTTCTGATATTGTAGCACGGACCACTATATAGAGGACCGAAACTATAACTTTTAGTGGGGTGAGGGAGGGGAGTTTAATAACGCTGCTGCTGAAGTATCGCTTACAGAACTCAATGGCTGTGACATGTTTTCTCAGATATTGTAGCATTGAGCACTTTACGAAAGGCCGAAACTAGAACTTTAAGTGTGTGGTAGAGTGGGTGTTTAATAACGCTGCTGCTGAATTGCATGATTCCTTTTCTCCCTGGGTAATAATATAATTGAAAACTGCAAATAATCATTTTTACTTCGGCAAAAGAAACAATACTAGCAATCGTTTTGTACTTTCTGTACTAGTTTATGCATATCACTTTTCATTCTCGAGGTATTGAAGTTTTTATTATGTCCGATTTATATGATGTCACACTGGATAATGAGAACTAGATGTATTAGGTAAATTTGATGATAATTTATTTTAACATGGCGGAGCTTCCTTCTTTGTGATGTGTTAATGATATAAAATACCGCGTGCCATTATCAACCTAAACTTGTCAGGAAAATGAAGGCTATTTGAAACATTGCAGCGACTCATTTTGCATGTAATATGTTGTCACAAGTTAGATAAATTGCTAATTGCAAGGACGTCACTATTTTTAGAGTGAAAACGTTATGCAGAAAAGGTTTTAGAAAGCACTATGTCATTTCAAAAGTTCGGGTCAATACAGATATAATGTAACTAGCATAATTTTCGTTTAATTGGCAATTTAAAATGTCCAAACAATGTTTGAGAGAATAATTGTAGAGATCGAACTTCAATGTTAATCTTTAGCAACAAACATAAGATAGTCTGTCTAAAAGACGAGTGTCGAGAATAGAAAGAAAAATTAAATGAAGCTATTTTTTTATCTTTTGGTATAAAAATTTTTTTTAGATTCTAAAAAATATTTGCTATCAAAATTTTAATTTAGTATTTTTGAAAAACGCAAGTTTACTCCTTAACAAAAATCCATGAAATAACTGCGGAGAGAAGTTTTTGTGATTAATTGTTTGGTATAAGCTAACCTCGAATGTACCAGTTAAAAACTTTATGATATGTCTAACAATTGTTAGTACGTTTTTTAAATTATGCGGTGTCAGTATCTTTTCCTAATTAAGGAACTTTAAGCTATTTTGACGTATTTAAATTGTTTGGTTAAACATTGAATGTAATATTTTTATCTAGAAGAGTGGAAATACATTCATGAATCAACGAAACATAAAGAATTGCTTTTAAAATTGATTGAATATGGACGCAATCCCAGTGTTAAGGTTAAAGTGGTTGGCAATGTACGTGTAATTTTCTCAGACGAGTTTTGCATCGGCAAAGGAAGTAACGAAACCCGTGTTTTTCTTGGACTGACAAAGGATGGTTACGGCAAAGCAGTGAAACGAATAAGTAGAGATAACTACCTCGAGCCTGCACAGCATGAAAAGAAAACTTTAAATGAATTCCATGCAAAAAAGTCGAAATATGTTGCGAATTATTACTTCTTTGAGGAAGATACTGCAACAGAATATGTTTATTTGATCTTAGACTTATGTGAAGAATCATTGGAGAGTTTCGTAAAATCTTCTACTTTACATGATCTTCAAAAAGCTCTTCCCGAAATTCTCAGACAAATTTTGCAAGGACTAGCGGATCTTCATAGCGGCCCAAATCCTATTCTTCATCGTGATTTAAAGCCCTCCAATGTTCTCCGAGACTCACAACACAACTTTCTGATAGCTGACTTTGGAATTAGTCGAATATTGAAGAATGACACTACAACATATGAAAGCAGTCCTAACATGGGAACGGAGTATTGGATTGCTCCTGAATCATATATAGAAGAGGAAGATTCCGTTGATAAAGGACGGTACAAGAGAGAGTCTGATATAATGGTAGGTGCAGGAATATAATCATTTGCAAGACATGCATATGTACAGTCAATTTTGTGACTTACATTGTTAATTTTTTAGAATGCAGGAATGGTTACTTATTATGTTGCAACAAAAGGAAAACACCCGTTTGGAACTAAACGGCATAGATTGGACAATATGTTGAACGGTAACCCTGTTGGTTTGGAAGAAATCAAGGATGAAACACTAAAGGACCTTCTGTCGTGGATGTTAAATCTAAAACCTAAAGATAGACCGTCGGCTACCGAGGCGTTAAAACATCCATTTCTTATGTCAGATGACGAGAAATTTGACTTATTATGTAAAGTTGGAAACCTTCAGCAGATTAAGACAAATGATCCCCAGTCAAGTGTCGTTCAACAATTGAATAGCAAATCCGAACATTGGAAAAGTAAAATGGATTGTGATGTTTATGATTATTTAGTGAATGGAAGGACCTATAAATCTTCATGGACAGAATGCTTAAGACTCATTCGAAATATTGATATGCATTGGAACGATCGACCACGACCTCTACCACAACCAGAACCCTTTTATAAGATTGGCTATCACAGGGCGTATTTTCTCAAAACGTTCCCCAGTCTCCCTGTTCGGGTACATGCTGCTGTCAGGTCAAATGAAGAATTGAAAGATAAACCCGAACTTATAGGTAAGCATACTAGCTTGAATTTTCTCATTTTTCATTTCACTTAAATTATGTGATCGCTGTACAATAGCAATTTGATTACATAATATTTTTACGTGATATTGACATCATTTCTTTGCTCATCAGTCTTTATTTACTTAAATTCGAAGAGATAAATATTATGAGAAAAATATCCATTACTACCATAAATATATATTGTAAAAATTAGCAATAAAAAGTAAGAGTAAAATGTCTAAAGCGTAGTCATTCTCTCTAGAGGAATGAATGTTGAGATTTAATTACAAATTACAAAACGGAATATTCTATTTTTCTTAATAAAAATTTTTACCATAGAAAAATGGAAGAGTAATTTCAACTGGAACGATAACTTATACAAGCGCTGTATAATAAGATTAAGGCATTGAAAAGGCCCAAGGAGACCTGCACTTTCCACGGCAAATTCACACATTTATACCCTATTCGCACCTCTTTTGACTTTTTCAATTTGCAAATATTCGTACTCCCTTGAGTTAACCTTTTTTGTTGCAGTGAAGCAGATTTGTAACATTCACCAAACAAAATGGCCGGCAATTCTTTAAAAGTTCGCTACCTATAGGTTTAATATCAGGAATTTAATAGACAACAAAAAGCAGCAGTATTTTATGTTTTTCGTTGATACATCTTTCGCCATTTTTGAACAAAAAGGAACTGAACGGACCTAAATAGCAACCATCACTGATATAAATATTACACTGGATAACGCATCCATATATAAAATATAGTAAGATAATTAAAGCCGGAAGTTGGCTCATCTGATTATGACCTTCGTTGTGGGTATCGGTCCCACTTTTCTATACTTTTGTATTAAAAATCACAGTTTTTGCGTTTTATTCGTTCTATATGATAATATACTGTCGTTAAAGATGGGGGTCAGTTATTGTTATAGTTGATATTATAATTTACTATGCTGGAACCAAAATAATTTTATTATTACGTATGCATACAACAAAACACAAGGTCGTCTTCATGATTTATTGGATTAATTTTGAACGTGTCTTTAAGATCTTAGTAACATTATAAAACGTTGACATAAACGTACGTATAATATTCACTTTATTAAATTTGTTAACAATATTGTTATGTGAGTCAATATGTCATGTAAACACGAATTTTGTACTTTTTCTACACATATTTTTTCTGAAGAAGAGAAAAAGCAACAATGTTTTCAAGGTAAGTATATGGTAATACAAAATTTCGATTTAAGGGTCACATCTTATGCATGATATGCGTTTTTAAGTTCTTTAAAATCTATTGCTTATCGACATATTACAACATGCCCATGCAATTATCTCCCCAATATAAGCCCCCTCCAAACTATAAATGGTACGACAGCCCTGGATATATAGCCTATGGGGATTATACAAGTCGAAAAAATGACTTATTTTTCCTCAAGTACATGGTATTTTATTAGTAGTCACGTTTGCATCAAAAATACATTGTAAAGAGTCTCTCTAGAAGGGAAGAGTCGAGAATGGAAAAATATTTTTTGCATTGGGGAAAATTCGAGTTACTTTTATATGAATAATTATTTTTGTTTCCCTCGCTTTTGACTATATGTATAGTATTTAGTGTCATGTATGAAATAAAGACATACTCCTGAGAAATGGTCCATTTTGACCTCAATATTTGAAAAAACAAGCGAGACAGTTATTTCATTCTGTAATGTTTTGAATTCATTACAAATTCATCATTGTACGATAAATATTTACAAGCTAACTGTGGCTCCCTTTATATCTGTTTATTTCCATCATTTCGAAGGAAGTGTCAATTTTTCCGGGAAGATTAAGTTGATTGTATTACTGGCTTTTCGGCCATTGTTAAGTTCTGGTTTGTAGGATTTAATAAAGAATACTTCCATTAGTAGAAGTCAGGAATTTTTTAAGTTTTTGTTCTAGTAAATAAAGTATTTTGTATTAGCCAACTATGAGATCAAGTGTGCTGAAAATGTAGAAATTTAAACGTTTTTCATGCACAATGGAAAGAATTAAAATTGAAATTACCATTCATTTGCGCAAAACATGATTTACATCATAAGGATGGGACGTTTATGGTCCAAGAAATTAGTGAAACTCCGCAATGGACAAATGAGATCTTCAGTTTTCAAATAGATCATCTTCTTTCTTTCTAATTGTTGGAAAATTTTCCACAGCCAAGATGTTATGGTTTAATCCTCATTGATGACGAGACTTCGTCTTTCATGACAAAGAGCTTAATTTTAAAAATGAAAACAATGCCAAAATTATAGCTCCTTGTTATCGTAAATTATTTATACAGGGTAAGAGCTTCCCAGTAGCTAAATCACTCCCTGCATCCTCATCCGGTGCCATGTGTATTGATTTTACGTTCACATTTTTCTAATGATGGTGTGTAATAAATCGGTGTTTCTTTACATGTTTTCTTTTTACTAGATTTAGCTGATCTTAGATACACTAGACTAACAACAGAAGAAATCGAGAAAATTGGTTCGAAAGTTGGAACTGATTGGAATATACTGGGTGGTCTTCTAGAAATACCTTTTAACATACGTGATGAAATTACTGTTCACGACACAATTTATCCAAATCCCTCCGCAAAAGCTAAAGAGATTTTAGTCATTTTTAATGAAGGAAAGAAATTTGATCGATATGTATTGAAGAATTGCCTTGAAGAACTAAAGCTTGATGTGGATGAAATTTTGTCTCCCACCAATCAGGTATAATTAATTAAAAATATTTATTCACTCGCTTCTTGTTTTTAAACCAGTTACCGTTCTTTTCTGGAAAATCTGTCTTAAGTCCCTGTACTTCTAACAGTAGACAGAAATTTGACAAAGTTGAAACTAAAGATGGGGACTTGAAGTTTTTGTTAAAGTCGTATATAACAGTGCATGTAAAAATCTCACGGACGATTTTATTATCTAATACATTTTTTTCTGTTAAACAATAATTTTCACGCAAAGAACTACAAATTATCGTACGTTAATTGTCATTTCTGTATTTGGCTTGTCTGGATTATTGTGGTATAGTATTTCACATAGTCAACTGCTCTAAGTACCAAGGCTCTCCTACTTGCAATTTTTCTATCAATACGTTTCGAACTTGTTTTAACCTCTACTCGTTAGTTTAATTCAGTAAAGTATGAACTGAGTCAGAGCCAAATAGGTGGTGTGCAACCATTTCCTTGGGAATGAGAGAACAATGGAATGTTCACCTTGGTGCATGACATTTGCATTCTAAATAAGGACAATCTTTGTTAAAATAATTTAACAAGGTAGCTAAGACGTAACTTGCACACTAAGAATGTATCATTTTTCGTGTTGAGACGCGCTAGATTAACAAATTTATCTTCAATGACAAATTTGCAATCCTTTTCATTTAAACTTTTCATAGACAAGCAGAAATTTTTTAACTACTCGTGAAATATGTCAACTGAGTTGTCATATAGCAAGTTTCTGGGATGAAATGGCTTCCTTGATGAATTTGGATAACCATGAAATTGAGAACGTGCAATCGAATACGAGTTATAAAAATGAACAAATAAAGGCTGAGAAGATACTGTCAATACTGTCCAACAAGTGGAAAACTGAATTTCGGAGAAAACTAGTTGAGACCTTGAAAAGCATGAACAAATCTACTTTGGCTAATTTGATTTTGAATTACGAGTGGAAACACCTGCAATGAAGGTGAAGATTTTTCTTTTACGTGTAAAAATTCAAATGTTTTACTTGAAAACATTTTGAGACTAAGTTCATATTAAATTAGCACCGTGTATTGGACAATGCATATGTATGGACATTTCTATATAATCATGTCAACACAATTAAAACATTTTAGTTATAGCATCAACATATTGATTAGTTTTAAAATTTGTCGCTATATTGCTTCATGTCATGTCTGTGCTGTTCTCAAGCCACGTTTACACTATACCGGATTACTATCGTAACAGGTTAGATTTTCTTTGTATTTAAAGGCAGTGAAATTGTTCAACGTCAGAAACACAATCAAATAGACGAAATCTATCAACTTCATAAGCTGTTATTCTAATTTCACTCAAAGTTTGCATAGTATGAGTAAAAGATTGGGCTAGGTTTGCCACTACCTATACTTTATATATATTTCTTAGTCTTGAATTAGTACTTTGCTAAATAAAGTCATAAAGGTCAATGTGGCTTCCACAATATGAAAATTTTGATCACACTTATTGGGATGAGGGAATATTCTTATAAGCATGATTTTACATTGTCCGCGGTGACAAATAAGGCAGAATCATGAAGACAAGTAAGAATCAATCTGAAAAGTGCTGGCTCAAAGTATAAAGTCCTTCTCAAATATATTTTATTTTGACGGATTTTAACAAGAACATGTCAATCAGGCATTTGGGAAGCCATGAGCCTATGGGTCTGCAGACACCCACAGAATGTGCAAGTTCTTGCTCGAACACATATGTTATGAATGCCATGTTTTTGTTAGTATAACCAAATTTTCAACTAAATAAACAGACTTTCCCACTGACATGATGCAGTTTAATAAAATACCACTTACTATTACAATCCGTTATTTAACAGCATCTTTTAACTAAAAATATATTTCGCAGTCAGCTAAACTTCCTTCAATGTGAAGTTGGAAGGTTCAATCCAAAATTGGGATGAAGTTTTCTTAAGAGTAATCTCGAAGAGTGTGAATCTAATACTGACAATGGGAGTTCTCTTCCTGCCTTTTATAGTAACTTATCGCATGTAGAGTGTGCCATTTACAATTTGCAATCAGTTTCCAGCAATATCATTTATAGAAGCCTGAGTTCTGACAGCCAGCCATAAAATTGCTTAAAAGGGACGTTTCCAGCTTCTTTCCATATCCAACCATGTTAAGCTTCACAAATAACCTATTTTGTAAAGGTTTCATGGTGGTATCATATTTTGCGTAAGCTTGTAACAAGCTTCATTATGTAAGTAAAGGTGTGAGTAAATGTATTGTTTTCCGTCAGAAAGTTTTTATCTTGATCTCTAAATATAAGCTCTATAAAACTTGCCTTTTTTTAAGTAACTCGTTTATAAAAAAGGAGGTTATAAGTTTTTTTAGTCATTTTATAAGCCATTATTAAAATATCTGCACACGACAGTGAAAGTTATAAGAGGGTTTCATCATTTGCGAATGTCAATATGCAGTAACACTTTCATTAACAAGCTATTAAATTGTATGAACTCAGACTTAGATATGCCACTGGAAATTAGATATTTTGCATAATTTCTGGGTTAAATGCGTTGGTCAAGTGCCTCACCATGTTCATCCACACGAACAATAGGCTGCTTTAACACCCCACCTCACCACCACCCCCACAGTAGTCTTTGGTGGTGTAAAATGGGGGGATTTTCAGTTAAATAGCACATCAACAGTACAGGGTATTGAAAAAAACACGAAAGCAAAGGCATCAAGGTTTCTTTACATTGTTTATTATCTTTCAATTCGTTCGTAGTCAAATACTACCAAAACAACTTTAACATTCCTAACATTCCACTTTACCACAACCATCAATTTTTAACACAACTCAATTAAGAACTACTTTCAGATATAACAGATATTGTTTGTACTTTAGATACATATTGAATAGTCAACAAATAATCTTGAATCGCTCACTAGCGCTTTCTCATGAGGAAATCAGAAAATCTGACTTCCATCTACAATAAAGATTCATGGGAGCCAGCAGAGAAAAATAGACCCATTTTTTCATTGCTCCATCTTTTTATGACTTCATGATGGTATATCCAACCTATTTAGCTCTTCCAAAGTTTTTTTCTTTACAACATCTCCTGTGATCCCAGCTTCTATCTCTCCTTAATATTTCTCAGAAATCATGTACCTCAACTTTTCAAAGGCCTAGGACTCCGTTCACTATGCGATGCTTAATTGAAAAGTGCTTGGTATGGCTAAACTGGACATCTTTCATGTTGGTGTGCGGATTGCTTAATTGAGATCGAGTTGTCGTGAATGTTGAAAGACCTACGAGGTCTCTCGTCTCGACTGGAGCGCCAGCATAAAGCATTCTCGGACTTTCCTCGTTATCCTTTCACTTAATTATTGGCCTACTTAGGAACTGAAACAACTTGTAGGTCTAGGACATCTCCCCCTCCTCACCTTTTTCAGTGAATGTCTATCTCTGCAAAAGTCTTTGCCAAGTTTAGACATCGGAAATAATCAGATCTTTGGCACTTTTTTTCGTCATAATTCATGTGATGTCGTTTTTTTGCTATAATACTTATATTCACAGTGGCTGTTCAAAACTTTGTCTATATGGACTCAAAAGTAAGCAGATGTACAAATCGTGAGAGAGTTATGCCTATTTCAAATGTTGAAATTTTTACAAGCCGAATGCATTTAAAACAAAAAATGTTTAGGAATTTCATCTCATTTATTTTTGTCTTGAATGCATTCGGTGCATGCAAAGTTTGACTTTTGAAACGGGCTTAAAGTTCAATTTAAATCTCCTAAATGACGTATTACATTTTTTCATAAACAAGAGATAGTTTCTTTAACAGTCAGTTATAGTATATTTAAACCTTTTATGTAATAAACCATTAAACTGCACAAAACGCAAAATTGCACTTTGTTTTAATCCTTCCATGAGCTTCGTTTATAACTTCTAAACTTCGAAGGATTTCAAAGGTTAGCGGTTTCTTGATGTATATGTAATTACACTCATGAATTTATATTTAGTTAAATGAGTTCAATGTCTAGGACCACTGCAATGCAAAATCGACCACTGATTGACGTTCTCGTCATCGATCTAATTATGTGAGCTAATTTTTGACTTGCAATCATTCCATGCAGATTTACAGACAATGTCGTTTGCCCACGTCAATTGGTGACCACAATAACATTAATAAAATATTTTTTAAAATAAGACCACTAATTCTTGATTTGAAACCACTCTCTTAAAATTTACCAAACAATGTTTCTCGCCCATGTCGGCTGGTGGCAATAACATTGAGGAAATATTCGTTTGTATCAGACCACTAACTCCGCTGAAATGCAGGTCAAGAATATGGTGACCAAATCAAGATTTTCAGCAGTTGTTTGCTGGAGTAATTAAGTGTGCTCTTTTAATGATTTGTGATCATGAATTACGGTAAGTCAACCATACACCATTAAATTTATTTTGACGACGACGAACAAAACATTTGTGTCACAGTATAGAGAATATACAGTAGAGCCACTTCATTGAATTTTTTCCTGCAACGCATATCTTGTTACGTATGTAATTATTATAATGGCAGCCAATCAATTGCTTTTTTGACCAATAAGAATTATGAAATGGATAACGGCAGCCAGTAATCTAATAAATATACTGCAGCCAATTGCTCACGAAGCGCACTTACTGTATATTCCTATACTGTGTTCGTGTTTACTTTACCTTTGTGAGTTATATCATTCAAGCTAATATTTTATGCACCAAATTAACAAATAAAGGACATCAAAAAAATATAGTCAGAAATTTTTTGCAATGGTTTTAGCCCAGTGGGATGTACTGGGTAGTCTTCTCGAAATACAGCTTTACGTCCTGATGAAATGCTGTTAAAAATGAAAGTTGTTTAAATCCCTCTTTAGAGGCTAAAGGAATTTTGGAGATGTTTAATAAACGCATAAAATTAGATCGATATTTATCGAAAACATGCCCGAGCGAAATATATCTTGATTTGGATGATTTCTCAAAAAAAAA